TTACTTATTTTCTCAAACCCCTACAGAGACATTTTATAAGTGAATACTGCTAACAGATAAAAGCTGGATGATTAATTAAAAAAAAAAAATCAAGTTCAATACTATAAAAGAACCCTCTACAAACTGCCAGCTCTTCAAGGATCTTCATGGTTGCTCTCCCAGATTTTTAAAAAGTTGTAACATTTTATTGTGTTTTCAGCCAAAGTTTGCTTTCCCAAAACTTAAGTGCTTGCAGTTCAAATCCATCAGCTGCTCCTGGGAAATTCTGTTCAGGGTTGCTACGGGTTAGAATTGACTCAATGGCACTTCACAACAACAACGACAAATTCCTGGAAGAATTTTGTGGACTTGCTCTTGACTTCTGAAAACTTACATATTATTTTTGATTAAAACTCACTTTTTACTGAAAATATTTATATCAAACTCACACACACTGGTTCAACTTATGAGGATAACCACTTATAAGTTACGTTTATTCCAAGATATGAACCAATTTGATGCAAGGGAACTTTCTCAGTACTTTACAAAGAAGCCCAGGAAACCAGAAACTTCTTTATTGAAGGACAGAAATTCCAAGATCTCTAAGTACCTCCAGACTAAGCAGGCTATTAGAATGTGTTCAGCCAATGATGGGAAAACTAGTCTGATATTTTCTTAACATTTACAGATTTCCCAGAAGTTCCAAGTTTGGCTGTAGACACTGAAGGATTAGAGGAGGAAACAAACATAAGGCATCTAGTACTGTGGTTGGCATATACTAGGAACTCAAAACTGGGTTTTTTGACTATTTAATCATAAAAGTTGAATAATCGTACAATATTATAGAAATGCCAAGTCATAAAACTGGACAAAGTTTCCAAAGGTGCCGCTAGCAGATGGTGGTAGACTGCCTGCCTGGGGAGACTGTGTACTCACTTAAAGTAACAGAGGAACACAGAGTACAGATTACGGAGCTGTAGAGAAGGATCTCTGAGAAGCATCTGCAGGGAGAACTGTGTGACCATAGGAGGAAGTGAGACAACAAGGATGATAAAGTAGTATATAGATTAGAAAGCAGCGCCATAGAGAAGCACATGGGTGTTGGGCTGTACTTATCAAAGTCCTGTGTTTAGGTTTAAAATCCTGGGGTAAACTACAATGAAGTGCTAAGTCTACAATGCACTGCCCCTAGGCTATGCTCTGAGGGCCCAGGGCACTTAGAGAGCTGATTTCAATTGTTCTGTCTTTATAGTCAACTCAGAGATGTAGTGCTTGAAGGCTCTCAGATTTGCCAACTTCAGCACTTTTTTTTCCGAGTCACTTGGTGAAAATTGTAATGATAACAGGGTAAGTCAAGGTGCTATTTGTTGTTAGTTGCCAGCGAGTTGCTCTGAGTCAAGGTGACCTTATGGAGTGTTGTTGTGTCCATCTCGAGGCTTACCTCGCTTTCACTGACGCTGTACTTTACTAAACACAACGTCCTTTCTAGAGATTGGATCAGAGTACGTGAGCCGAAGTCTTAGCTACATATTCAGAACTTCCAAATTACACCTTTACCCAGTTTTAGCAAATACAGGTGGGATGTCAAGTCACTTGCCAGTACTATTTGCAGTTAATGAAAATTAAAGCAGCTAATGAAATCCCTGTGGATCACATGGTGCAATTCCATTCTTCATGTGGCTGACTCAAAGGCAGTTAACAACAAATGCTTAAACTCTGATCAAAGGTAGAAGCTACAGTACCATATAAAATATTAATAAGCTTCAGGATTCTGATTACTCACTGTTTCCCCTTAAATTGAGGCAGTTAAAAAATCAGCTGATTGTCTTACAGTCCAGAAACAGAGGACCCTAGGACCATAAAGAGAGGAGCACAAGCAGAGTGTGGGACCTTATCCAGAGAAGCAGCGACACCAGAGATGGAGGCAGAGATGGGGACATGGAGAAAGGGTGCAGCTGAGGACTCTAGATTCATGGGAAGAGAGGGACTGGATGCTGGTGGCCAGGAAGCAGGCTTGCAGAATGTTTAAATGATTTGGTTGTTTAAATGATTATATATTCCTGAATGTGTCTGTATACACGCCCCCTCCAAAACAAAACAAAACAAAACACAACAGCACAGTGAATGGAAGCAAATACTGTTGAATGATGATGCACGGAGGAGACTGTAATCATTGCAATGAAACAAACTATGGTGTAAAGCCAATGTTCTCCCATGTAAACTTTCACTCAGTTCACAATAAAAACTTAAAAATAAATAAATAAAATCAGTGGAAAGACATAAACAAGGAACTTTTGTTTCAGTGGTAGTACAGTGGGTTAAGCACTGGGCTGCTAACTACACGACGGCAGTTTAAACCCTAGGAGAGATCTGAGGTTGTTGGTTCCCTAAAGCTTGACAGTCGTGGGAACCTTATGGAACAGCTCTCCTTTGTCCTGTAGGGTTTCTACAAATAGCAATCTACTCCATGACTGAGAGCTTGTTTTTTATTGTGGTTATTCCACAGTGTGGTGGTTAACTACAAGTTAAAATAGCTCTTTTTATAAGTTTAGAAGAAAAACAAATAAGCTTTGAGTGTCCATAATTTAAAAAGGCTTCAAAACATTACGTAAGTTTGCAGAGCTCCTACCGTCAGCTGAACAGTGAGCAGCTTACAATGGACATGACGCTCCGGCTCAAAGCGTTTTGGCGCTCTCTGCAGCATTAGCCATGTGACTTGAGAGGTCATCTTTTAAAGTTATAATCTTACCTCTATCATTTGTTGTTGTTAAGTGCCGTCGAGTCGATTCCGACCCATAGCGACCCTGCATAGGATTTCCAAGGAGCAGCTTGTGAGCCTGAAACACCAACCTTGCGGTTCAAATGACTGTGCAGTCTGACACATTAACCCACAGCACCACACCAGGACTCCATACCTGTATCATAAGGGACTTCAAAAAGTGGTGGAAAAATGGAAAGGAAAGAGAATGGAATTTCTCCACCAACTTTTGAAGCTCCCTTGTATCTGTTTCATAATGATTGTTGGCAGGGCAAATACATGCTCAATAAGACTTCTCTATTATCATTTTTTGTATGTGTGAGGAATGACAAGGAGAGAATTCTAGAAAGCCCTTATAAAATTTTGGCAAGCACCATAGGAATTATTCAGCTTTTGTGTAACTGAAAATTCATTTTAAGGAGTAGATCCACCTTGTATTTCCTGTCCAAAAAAAAAAAAATCTATTTGTTGTCAAATATATTTCAATTCATAGTGCTTTTATAGGACAGAGTAGAACTGCCTCCTAGGGTTCCTGAGGGTGCACTGAAAGTAATCTTTAAGGAAACAGACCACCTTTATCTTTCTCCCGAGGAGCAGCTGGTGGGATCAAACCATAACCTATCAGCTAGCAGAGTAATGCCTAACCCACTGCACCACCAATACCCCTTAAGGAGTAAAGCACCTGGAATGAAAGCATATAATGATAGCAACAATTTCTAAGTATCTGTGTGCCAATTAACTTGCTAAGTGTTGTATAGCTGTTAATCCATTAATCCTGAGAACAATCCTTTGAGATATGGATCTTAAATGAAGAAAAGGAGGCAGAAATTAAATATGTTGCTCCAGGTCACAGGTTCAGGCTTGAGGGAAAAAAAGCAAAGTTTGCTCCCATATTGGCTTAGCAAACCTTTTCCTTTCAGATAGTACAATGATAAACACCTGTCTAGTCTGGTAGCATAGTGGTTACGAATCGGGCTGTGAGCCTCAAGGTCAGCAGTTCGAAACTACCAGCTGTTCCGCAGGAGAAGGATGAGGCTTTCTGCTCCCGTAAAGATTTCCAGCCTCGGAAACCCTGTACAGGGTCGCTATGAGTCGGAACTGACTCCACGGCACATAACAACAACAGTAAGTCTGGATAAAATGCTCTATTTTCTCATTCTCAGAACTCAGTTGCAACTTCATTTTCACTCGAGGCCTCCAGTGGTAGGGGTAGACCTCTGATTGGTAAAGCCCTAATTAAAGTTTCCAAAAGTCTTTAAAGGATGATCAAAACCCTAAGAACTCATTTTTTACAGGTTATGGCCAGCATTTTACAGCAGGTCACTTTTTATATATTCAAAAATAATTTGAAAAGAGGATTCAGTAATATTTTGTTTGTAGTTCTGGAGGGCTTAGAGTGATATTTAGACTACCATGGGTGGGATATAAGAGGCATTTAGGGCATATAGAAATTTAATAGCTTCAACCTCAGAATTTCATGAATGGTAATTTTTGAAATGTATGAGGGGCACTTTCTGAAGTCCCTCATCTACTTACAACAAACACATCTGCATTAAAGACATTGTATTTTATGAAATTACTGAAGTAGGGTGCTGGAGGTTACCTGAGGTGATCAAAGCTAGAACTCTTCTGGAAATTTAGATGCTTACAGCCTAATTTAGAGGCATATGATTCAGGTACACATGATAAAAGAAGGGTAGAACTAAGCTGTAACTGTAGACCAAGTATGGACGTTGACAACTTCTAGATAGCCAAGTGGAGCAAGTAATCAGAGTTTGGAAAATTTGAAATCTTAGCCCAAGGATAGTCAAAGATGAGAAATTCTAAACTTATTTCATGGTAGGGAGATAAACGCTGATTTATATTAGAATAAACTGTAAAAGAGGAAATGAGTTAAAGAACAGGATATATTATTCATGTTTTATGGTTTCTATCTTCTTCATTTGGGGTCCTTTGTGTTCAAGAGGTAGTCTTTTAAGTAAATCCCACACAACCATTTGAGGGACACCAAACAAAATAGAATATTCTCTTTGATAATAAATAAAAACATCAAACAACCACACTAATTAAAATTAACCAGAGCGAGACCTTTCTTCAAATTGGTGTCTTAAAACTGGAGGTTATAGGGACAAATACCAGTATATTGTATTCAGCACAACTGAGGACAGTTTTCACTAAGGAATGCTAAGGTGTTGGGGTTCACTGGCCTGTGCTAATATTAACCAAAGTGTCTAAATTCACAGCTCAGAAAGGATAGTGTGTATTACCTTTGTAAGTCAATCTGTCTCTCGGGTGGTGTTGCCTTTTTGGCTATGTCTTGCAACTTGGGTGCTTTGGCATTAACTGTTTCCAAACCCCCAGGGCTCTCTTGACTGACTGCGGCTCTCTTTCTTCCCTTGACAACTGGTTTATTTATATCATCATTTTTGGTTGCATTGCTCTGAGACTCAGATTTGGGTCGACGTCCTCTTCTGGGTTTAGAAGGGGCAGGTGGTCCTGATTCATCTACTTTTTCATCTGTTTGTTGCTGGATATTCTCCGTCCCAGCTGCTGCTGCTGTTCTTTTCTTGCTTCGGTCACTGCTGATGTTGCCCTGGGTAGCCTGATCAGAATTCATCTCCTAAAAGTGCACAAAACAATTATATAAACACAAATCCTTAAATGCCAAAAGCTGGACTGGAAAGAAATATTTTGAATTGAGATTCCAGGGCTTCCAGTTACTTGCTTATAAGCCATTAAGTATGTAAACTTCATGTGGGTAGGGCCTGTAACCAGTGCAATCATGATGCTTGGCACAGGCAGTAAATGTAAAATAGAATCTACTCAGCTTTGCTATTCAAGACATTTTAAATGAAAGGAAACTTCCCTTTAAATTCATCATTTAAAAAATACAGGTATTCTCATAATTCAATATATAATATTCTTTTCTATGATACACTTAACTATAATAACCATTATTATATCTTTATTTGCCATAAACTTTTTAAATCACTGTCTAATTTATTTATTCTGTACATATACATTTTTAAAAGCAGAATTAATCATTAACCTAACCCTCCACCTTACCAAACGTGGCACAGTAGAACCAGCTAATCCAAGAACTACTAATCCAAGGACAGTAGCTGAAACTCACTAGTTGCTCCTTGAAAGAAAACAGTTATCTGCTCCCATAAAGATCTACAATCTGAGAAACCCTATACAGGATCGCTATGAGTGGGTTTAGTTTGTATATGTATAAAGAACTCATGTAAAAGCCAAATGAAAAGGGAACGGTTAGTCAGCTATAGGTGTTGAGAAAAGGAAGATTTCTAGAGGACTCGGCAGCATCGCTTACCTGAATCCATAAGCAGTATGTGTTTTGCTTCTTATGCAACTACCTCTAATTCAGTTTTAGAAAAAAATTACAGTAAACACACGAGGGAGCTTAAAAAAATTCATATTATCTTCTAATTCCATGTTTCCATGAACTTTTAAAAGCAAGTGAATGCATTTATATGTAGAACTCAGTGACACAGTCATGTTCATCACGCAGTGCAAACATCACCAGCATCATTCTCTGCATGACTCCACCACCATGAACAGGAAGCCAGCATCACCCAACCAATGACTCCCACTTTTTCCCTCCCTCCCATTTATCCCTAGCCAAGTTTTACTTTTTAAAACACAAAGAAACAAAACAGAATGCTCTACCAAGTATTAATAAACACTAAATTCCTATTCTTTCAAGGTGCAAGAGGCAGCATGGGGAAGGACACTGTTATGGGTAACCATAGAAACGCTTGAAAAATGAAGGAATCAAGTAAGTAGAATCAGTTCTGGAGAAGCACAGCATTACAGAGGGTGGTGGATACATGTGTGTAATATACAGTGTACCCTTAACCATCCTGCTGTGGGTTTCTCACCTCTACCATAAAGCTACAACATAAATCTTCATGGGAGAGATCTGCCTGCTCAATTAAAAATTTTACCTTGCTCTTTACTGGGTCAATGTTCTTTACAGGTGTGACAGAAATAATTCTCACAGGGTTCTCTTCATTTTCACTAACTCCAGTTTCTGCTGCTTCTGAACTCTGTTCCCTGTTGCAGAAAAATAAAAACAAGGTTTCTTTATTTCACCATAAGAGTAGAAAGTTTACTCTGTCACTATACAGATAAGAAAATGGAGGCTCAGGATGGTTTAAGAACCTGGTCAAGTGCAGCAAAGATAGCAAAATTTGGATCTACTCTGGTTATAGGGTAGTGGTCTATCACATGTTGATTTCCATTTAATAACATAAGACTGAAATGACTAATTACAATCACTTGACAAGAAGATGGTCAAGAAACAAAATAATAACTAAGTACTATCTATTATAATACCTAGGATGAAGAGGTAAAATCCCTAAACAAAACAAAACTACAATAGATTGCACAGCACCACAGTTGGTACTAGCCTGTGCAGGGTTGCTGCAGAAGAGGGGGTAGCAGAAGACAAGGACACATGTAAGACATCAGAGCTTCACCATCTCTAACTCACAGTAACTCCACACTAAATTACTTTGTATTTTGGTATGGTACTGCTTAAAATGGCTTTATATGGTTGAACTGATTTTATTCTTAAGATTTCATGGTTTGAAAACAATCTTTAAATACCTCAATATTTAGTGCTGAGAAAGTAAGGACAGATGGAAATTCTTATAGAGTGGCTAAGATGAAAAATACCTGATATTACCATATCAGGTATTTTTCATCTTAGCCACTCTATAAGAATTTCCATATCAGGTATTTATCATCTTAGTCACTCTATAAGAATTTCCATCTGAAAGGAGCTCTGGTAGCGTAGTGGTTACAAATTGGGCTGCGAACAGTAAGGTCAGCAGTTTGAAACTACCAGCTGCTCTGCAGGAGAAAGATGAGGCTTTCTGCTCCCATAAAGATTTATAACCTCGGAACCCTGTACAGGGTCACTATGAGTCAGAAGTGACTCGACGGCACTTAACAACAACAACAATGGTAATATAAACACGGACTCGTTTTATAAGGCAAAAAGAATTTACTAACGTTTGCTTAACTCATTGATAAACTGGTTTGGATTAAAAATGAAAAAAAAACAACAAAAAACAATTTGTTCAATTTGTTTAAAAGTTATTTTCATTGCTGTTGTTGACACCTATGTGCAACAGAAGAAAACACTTCACGGTTCTTCACCACCCTTACAATTGTTGTCACATTTGAGTCCATTGCTGTTGCCACTGTGCCAATCCATCTTGTTGTGGGGTGGGGTTTCTCTTTTTGTGTTTGTCTACACTGAGGTGCAATCCATATTGATCTTCAGCAGTTAAGTATCTACCTTTAAGTCCCTCTTTGCCTTCAGCAACCAAGATTATATCACCTGCATATTGCACGTTAATGAGTCTTCATCCAATCCAGATGCCGTGTTCTTCTTTATATAATCCAACCTCTCAGATTATTTTCTCTTCTACAGATTGGTGAAAGGAAACACTTTGGTAGACACCTTTCCTTATTTCAAACCATTCAGTGTCCTTTTGTTCTGTTTGAATTACTGATTCCCTCATCAGCATAACGAGTGTTTTTGAATACCCATTCTCTGCAATGTTGTCCAAAGTTTGTCATGATCCACATAGTCAAAATAGCACAAGTGAACATCTTTCTGATAATATCTGCTTTTTGCCAAGATCCAGCTATGTCAGCAATGATATCCCTAGTTCTACATCCTCTTCTGAATCTGGCTTTTCTGTTGTTTTTGAATTATCTTCAGCAAAAATTTATTTGCATGTGATATTAATGATATAATCTGATGATTTCCCCATTTTGTTGGAAATGAACACAAATAAGGGACCTCTTCTAATCAGCTGTCTTCCAAATTTTCTGGCACAGATGAATGAGGACCTCTAATGCATCAGCTTGTTTTCAATTTGTAATCTCTCAATTTTAGGAGCTGTGTTTTTCACCAATACCTTCAGTGCAGCCTGGTCTTCTGCCTTCAGTACCATTGGTTCTTCATCACATACTACCTCTTGAAATGTTTGAACACTATTTCTTTTTGGTAGTGACTGTACATAACTTCCATTTTCTTTTTTAAAGTTTTTATTGTGAACTGAGTGACAGTTTACACAAGAGAGCATTGGCTTTACACCATTATTTCATTGCAATGATGTTAATCTCCTCCGTGCATCATTATTCAACAATTTTGCTTCCATTTCCTCTTTTTTTTTGGGGGGTGGGGTGGTATACACAAAAACACTCAGGAATATATAATAGTTTAAACATCCAAAGGGCACATTCTGCAAGCCTGCCTTCTGGTCACCAGCTCTTAGTCCCTCTCTTTCCATGAGTCCAGAGTCCTCAGCTGCTCCCTCTCCACGTCCTCATTTCTGGTGTTGCTGCTTCTCTGAATAAGGTCCCACATTTTGCTTGTGCTCTTCTCCCTTGATGGTTCTAGGGTCCTCTGTTTCTGGACTGTAAGATTAACTACTCCCCCATTTTTGTTACAAAACTTCTACCTTTACAGTTTTGACAGTCACAATTAGTCATGATAACATTTATTGAATCATAAGACTCTTACCCCGTCTGTTTTCACCAGACACGTCTAGACAAGATGAAGACTATTCAGTGGGGATTCTACCTTCCCCCGCACACTCTGAAACTAAACTCCCTCTTGAAAACTTGTAAGCCAGTCACTT